TATATATATGGCTGTTCATTTTCCTATCAAACTATTTGTCAAATCTTGCTTCCTTCCTACCCATTCTTGCCTTCTTCCCTTCAATTTGTTTACCTACACTCTATGATCACTCTATACCCTTTCCCTGCCTCACCAGCACCCATACTTGTCTGTGATTTCAGCTGGTCAGCTGCGAGACTGTGGTCCTGAAAGCATCAGGACAGAATGAGCAGCCTTCCTTCAGCAAGGTCATGTCTCTCTCTCAAATGCTTTCCTATCCTGCCCCTGCCTTTAAAGCATTTTCCAGAACCTTCAAGAGCAAAGCAAGTAACGTTTTTAGAAACCTTCACTGTGTTTAGCTTTAAAGTAATTCATATAAATGGGAAGGAGACACAACAAACCCGAAACAAAACAACCAAACCAATGCTCTTCAACATAACCTTTTAAAAATTTCAAATGTACAAATCTGCATAGGCAAATTCTGTCTCTAGGTTAATGTGCTTTGCATAACTGAAAACTCTAGTCTGAACTGCACAAATGACTCTGCAGAGGGGCCTCCTGCAATACCTTACAAGAAACCCACCCAGAAACACCACATCTCAAACCCCACAAATGAATAAAGATGCAAGGAGTTATCAAGAATGTTATATCCCATTTGGGCTTTAAAAAGCAACAGCATACTACAAAAGTTGATCTAAAAAAATTATTAAAAAATATCAAGTTGTAATCTCTGAAAAAGACAGTTAGGACCTTAGACTTCAAAGTTCAAGTTTTTCCAAGCAAATTCATTTTTTTTCATTAGATGTAGTTCAGGAACACTATAATTATTGCAAGAACAGTTACACAGGTATCTTATGTTCCCTTTACATATGGCTGAACAATTCAAAAAAACATCAGCAAGAGCTTTAAAAAATATTCAGAAAGAAGTACACAAGTTCTGCTTATCTCTTTTGCATTCAAGGGGTCAAAATTATCAAAAACCCCAGCAAGTGATCTGTAGATAGTGGTACACTAAGATCCCTCACCCAGACCAAGTAACAATTGACAAGGAAAATGTGATTTGAAAAATTTTTGAGTTTTTGTAATAAAAGAAGCTGGTTGCTCATGTAGAGCAGCACAGGAAAATATAGTGACTGAGTTCCAAAACTAGTAACACTGCATCCCTTTTGAAAAAAAAAAATTAAGTTACAAACCACAAAAGAGTATATTGCAAACTGGAATGACTCATCACTTGAACTGGAACCACTCTCACTTCAACTTAATTCAAGTCAACACACACAGAAGTCACTACTTACCAAAAGCACTGAGCACTCAACATTCTCAGATACTCTGAATGCTTGCAAACATTTTATCTCTCAAATTCAATTTATTTCCTCAATCATTACAATAATTTCTACTACTATTATAAGTTTTCTCTGACTGAAACTACATTTCAATGTCTATGTAGTAAGAGGCTTTCAATCAAAAGGAGTCTAGGAGCTGGACTCAATGATCATTGTGGGTCCCTTCCAACTCAGGATACTCAATGATTTCATGAAAAGTATACATATTATTGTTTTTAAAAACATGTAAGTTTTCCAAAACGAATAACTTCAAAGTATTTTTAACCATATGATTTTATACCCATAAGACATCATTATCCATGCTTATGAATAAGCCTGAAGAAAATTTAGTGCCCTTTAAATCAGGCATGTGTAATTCAAATCACAGCTGCACACCAGGAAGTGCAATTCAGAATTTAATCCCTTAGTAAAATTTAACTATGCTCTACTTTAACAAAACTTAGTTCTAACAGCTATTCAAATACTGTCAAATTTAAGTTAAAAATGACATTTTAAAAGGCTACAAAAGATATTAAAAAGGTTGACTTATTTTGAGACAAGAAAACTTACCTAATATCTAATTATGTCTAAAATATCTACTCAGGAACATTCCTGATTTAATGTCAAACAAAAACTATACCAAATACAATGACTGCTGGCCTAAAATTGAAATCTAAACTATAAAAACTGTATATCTAGAACCTACACCACAACACTACCTGGATACAGTAACTTTTAAGACAGTAAGTCAAAAAATAAGTAACTATCAGGCATGAAGATCAAAATTAAACATTTTCCAGGTATAATGCAATATTATTATTATTATTTTCCCTTTATTTCCCTATTTTGTTCCCTTTATTTGGCTTGAATAGACAATCATACAGGTAGTACAACTTTCAACTTGAGTGGTGGTTTGCCCACGCTAGGCAAACAGAGCAGTCAGTAAAACCACTATACAAAGTTTCCTTCTCAAGCACTTGTTTTAGAGTTCCAGGTACAAAACTGAGAATTAAAAAGAAACCACTCTTTTCATTCACCAGCTCTAAACCTCATTCCAACAGTGAGAACTGCAAGAACTGAAAGAACCAGTTCCACTCAAGAACTCATAAAGCTTTTTTTTTTTTTTAAAAGACAATAACACACGAAAGGGAACCTGCACATGTACATACAGAGGTGAAAATAACTCAAACTTCTTGAACAGGAGATTAAGTAGAGAAACCACCTCACTCCCTAAAGTTTCCTAGTTGCAAGGAACTTAATAGAAACCTGAGACAAAAAAACCCAAAATAATATTACATGAAAATTTTAAACACCTGTTTCAAATTAGGAAGCAACTCCTGCGTATTTTGACTCTCCCCTTTTTACAATGCACCAGGAAGTTGTAAATAAAACTTAAATAATTTCGCTTACCTTCTTATCTTCTTTTACTTTGTGGGGTTTCTTTTTCATTTTTTTATCATCCAGTTCTTGATCCGATGTGATAGCAGGGTTATCTATGCCACCCTTCCACGTTTCCACAGGTGAAAGCAGTGGGTCTTCCTCACTTCCACGATGTCTTCCTTTTCTTTTAGTTTTAGAGGTGGTAAATGCCTCATCATCACTTGCATCCGAATGTGTTCTCCTATAGTAAGACTTAGCTTTGCTGAACAGAGTCTTAGACTTGTATTTGTATTTTGAAGGCCTTCTTTCCCCATGACTTTTAGAGAGTCTATCAGAAAAACCATTTTCTTCCTCACCTTGCGTATTTATAACAATTGAGTTTCGAACTTTAATAACACGATTCTGAGTGTCATCTGGAACAGCATAGATATCATCTGCAAAGCCTTTATGTTTGTAAATAGTGTCAATAGGTTCAGCATAGTTGTCAGATTGGTCTATATCCTCTGGGGGTGCCGCAGGCACTCGAGAAGGTTGCTTCCTGGGGTTTTTGCCAATACCTGCCTCAATTGTTTTCAGGAGATTAGGATCCAGTTTTTTCACATTTGTTCTCGGAACAAGCGGTTTCGGTTTTATCGGAGGAGGCACTTTATGGTTGCGTTCATGGTCATGACAATTAATTGGTGTACTGTGAACAGGATACTCATTTCCTTCCAGATCGAGACGGTACTTGGAACGCTCACTAGGTGCTGGGAGTAACCTTACATCATCACCAATTGGACTGTAAGGTGGTGGTCCTTCAGCATCATCCTCTGAATCTGGGTAATTATAATCAAGGGAACTTCCTCTTGGAGACCTTGGGAAAACATCTTCACTTGTATGCGTTGATTCCCTTGTGCTGTCTGACATGTAAGAACTCTCAATCATGTTTTTCTTCTCTAATACATCACTGAAGAACAATGTGAAAACCTCAGTTTGACGATGATACTGAGATAATGAATATAAAGCTGTAAACTTAGCTGTAATCTCTGTTGCTATGTGTTCTCCTTCAGTCATGAGTTCCTTGATTGCTTCATTCTCAAAGAAGTCTGCCTGGCTATCAGTAACAGCCACTAACTGGACAGGAATCGTATCCTGAACTTCAGAAAGAAATGCCCGAAGCATTCCCATGGATGCCTTCCGCTTCGCAGAGTAAACTAGTATATATCCATGAACAAGTTCATCTTTCCTTACACCAATTGAAGAATGATATGATAATATAGTTATCTGTATTCGACGCCTCTTTTCACCTATTATTTTATCAAGCATCAAAGAATTATTCTGGCCAGCCTGAGCAGCACTACAGGAGTGAGAGTCAAGGAAAGGTGAAAGAATAAGATCCACACTAAACGGATCACCACACATGGCACACATGACGATCCTTAAGTCAGCTTCTGACAGATCTTTGATGGTGGGAACAGGACTTACAACATCAAAATTGTGTTTAACTGCTTCCAGTACTCCCCTCAGAGCTTGTTTTATTTGGGTCTCATTGAATTTGCGTGGATATGTACCAGCAGGCACATCTACAAAAGGACACTGTAACTTGTTGGCCAATTGCTGTCCCTGATGTCTTAGAATAGGTAGATTCTTGCTCACACTGTCCCTCTGGTTAGCCAGTATCAATGTAAATGAAAGATTAGCCATATACTTGTCTCTCCTTATCTGAGATGCTTCAGCCCTTATTTTTGCAATGCACTCCCCAATAAAATTCAGTGATTCAATAGAGTTAAACACACAGAAACAACCATGTGGTTTGAAGGCTGAGGTCCACAACTGAGTCAACAAGTATGGGGATTTGGCATCAACTGGCCTAAGGTCTAGTTCATATATTTTTCCATCTAATGCATATTCATCATCAGTGGACTGTGTCCGAATTTCATTTGCCAATTCTTGTGCAAGGCCATCTTTACCCAAAATGAAAAGATTGACTTTATCAATGTTGGCACTATCATGGTATAAATTTGAGCGGCCATGGTCCAGTTGCAGAAGACTGTTGGCAAGTAACTGCTCTACTTTAATGTCTGTGCAATTTTGGCCACTCAGACAAGTTTCCTTAGTTGGGTGATAAACAAATCCTATGTGTTTAAGCAGAAGAGATTCTCGATCAGGTGCAAGTTTCTGTAAAGCTTTGTATCTAGGTTCTTCACTCAGAACTGCATGAATTTCACTCATTTTATCTGTACTTGGTGTTGCATTAAGATCCAGGTCATAAAACAGCTCTGAATGTTCAAAAAGCATTTCCTGAAACTCCTCTTTGGCTTTTTCAACAATCTCCCTCTGATGCCTACCATACACTTCCTTACTGTCTGCATCAGTGATGTATTTGAACGCTTCATCCTCCACCACAAAACATATAACTTCTTCCCATGGCTGTCCGGGTGAAATGAATTGGATTTTCTCAAGAGTTTTTTTGAATTTCTCCTTCATCTCAACCCTCCTTTTTTCTGATATAAGATGCTGCACATGGTTTTGATAAACTTTTTCTGCCTCTAGGGTAGTGAGAAGGTCAAATGGAATCCTTCTGTCATTCACTTTATCTATATGGTCAGTTTCATCCCAGGGTGTTTTTTCAAGCACTACAAAACAAGACTGGAAGTCAGGCCTTTTCTCCATTACCTTCAAGGCTTCTGACCAGCTCAAGAGTTCAATCTCATCAAGATCTGATAGAAGAGTATTCAGAGCTCTTGGCAATGCATTAATATATTCTTCTTTTCTTTTTCTAATATGTTCCTGTTTAAGCTGCTCTATGTGTTTGGAAAATGTATTTTTGGCCTTTTTTGTTCCTTCCAAATTTATGTACTCTTCATAATCAGGGTGGTTTTTCAGTTTATTACTAACAGTTTTCCAAGTTGCATGATAGTCTCTCACAGTTTGGACAAGTTTTTCAAACTTATCTGTTGCTGTAACAACTAGCTGTCTTTGAGTTTTATAGGCATCCAGATAGGGGATTATTTTAGGTTTACCACGAGTTTTATCCATCATTTGTACCAGTGCAGTAAAACATGTTTCAACATTGACATTGAATCTTGCCGATGTTTCCACTACCACAAGGTTCTTCTTATTTGAAGCAAAGGCCTGAACTTCTCGCAGATAATGATCCACACATTCATCACATTTTGTTGCTGCTATTATTATGGGTTTTTTAGATTTTGAGAGCTGGATATAGAGATTATTCACAAATTTCAGTTGATCATCAAACTTCCTATTGCATCCTTGGCTTACATCAATGCACAATAAAAACCCATCTATGTTTAATTTCCCTTCAGGCATTTGTTTTTGCTCAAAGTCTTGCTCCAAGCCTAGCTGATCTGTGCAAATGTACATGAGTTTTTCTGCAGACTGGAGTTTGGAGGCAGCTGCACGTTTTATGTACGGTTGTAAATTCGTACTCCGATGAGGCAAGAAAGTCTGATCATCAATGAACTCAGTCTGTTCAATGACATGAATTCTGCACTCAATTCCATCCTCACCACTTTGTGTTACGTCACCCCAGTACAAAAAGTGGTCATTGTTAACAACTCTTCCTCCGAAGTCAATTGTGCTAAGCACAGAGGTATGCTCAGGGTAATATTCATCTGCTTTTGAACGAACGAATCTATTGCACAAACATGACTTTCCAACTCCACAATTACCTTTATCCTTTTCAGTTCCAGACAGTCCAACAACACTAACAGCATAAGATGGGGGGCGTGGCTCTTTGTTTTTTGCCATCATAACTTGCCTCTCATCCTTTTGCAATTATCAAGGTAACTGTATGTGGTTTTCATTCTGGAAAGGTTCCTACAAATTTAAGTTGTACATCCAGGGTTCCAGAAAGAGCTTTCAGTTGTTCCTGCTTCAGCTTGTCATTGAGAGAACCTCAGATAACCAGAACAAGGAGGATCATCTTCCTAAAAGAAAACAAAGAGGAAAAAATTTTTCAAGGTTGCAGATAGCTCTTTATAACATGCATGAGACAAAAGAGACTTTAAGAAGCAATTTTGCTTGTTCACCCTGATTTTCTGCATATATGAAAAAACTCTACAACTACTTTAAATGAGATCTTAAACTTGTAATTCATTCATGTTAATGCTATTTATTCTATAAATTTTAAAATAAAACAGGTTTTAGGCACTGTTTAATAACAGTTCATCACCTGTTTTCATAGGTGATCGGCATACTTCTAAAAAAAAAAAGGCACTAAAAAGCTTTTTCAAGTATAGTAACTACAACACAAAAACTCTAAAGCCAACCCAATATTCACATATTGTATTCATGCCCATGTTTTCATGCTTATCTGCGTGAACACTACCTTTATGTGCATTTGCAGGGTTGAGTTTAGGTTGCAGCAAAGAAAATTTCAAAGTAAGAAGCAGTGAAGGCATGCAGTTGGTCATGTGGCACAGCCACTACCTATGTGCAGAAGCAAACTAATTTATTTGTATACTAACAGTACATGCTTTTAAGGAGAAACTTCTAACCTGAATTCTAGAGAAAAACAAATACCATCATACAAATACTAAAAAAAAAAGACTTATGTATGAGATTTTCAGAGTACAATGTAGCATCGTTCTTTCTGTCTCTATGAAAAAAACCAAAAAACTTTTATTAACTGTAAACAAAACCTACTAGAATTATATTCAAACCTCAACAGGATCATTACAAGGTTCCAGAGGTTTTAGCGAAGCCATCATCAAGTATAACAATTAGCACTAACTCTCAATTATTAATCAGAAGACTTCGTTTGCATGCATACTGCAAATTGAAAGATATTTACTGTTCTAGACCCAATTAAATTATGAGGAAAACATAAAAAATTGCATGGTTGAATGACTGGCCCCAGCAGGTTGTGATCAGTGGCACAAAATCTAGCTGGGGGCCAGTAACTAGTGGTATACTCCAGAGGCCAGTATTGGGTTCAACAGTGTTCAACACTCCGTTAATGATACGGATGACAGGGGAGAATGTACCTTCAGCAAGTGTGCCAATGGCAGAATGGGGAGGAGTGGCTGATACAATCCTGCATCCAGGGAGGAATAACCCAACCCCATGTACCAGTGTATGCTGGGAGCCAACTGGCTGGAAAGCAGCTGTACAGAAGAGGACCTTGGCATCTCAGCAGACACAAACATGAGCCAGCAATGTGCACTTGTGGCCAAAAAGGCTAACAGTACCCTGAGCAGCATTAGACAACATTGTCAGCAGGTCAAGGCAGGTGAACTTTCCCCTCTTCACAGCACTTGTAAGGCCACACCTGATGCACTGTGTCCAGCTCTACAGTACAGGAGAGATACAGAGCTATTGGAGAGAGTGCAGCAAAGGGCCACTAAAGCATCTCTCATGTATGGAGAAGGTGGAAGAGCTGGGAGTGTTTAGCATGGCAAAGAGAAGACAGGGGAGATCCCATCAATGTGTACAAATACTTGGAGGAAGTGTGCAAAGAAGGCAGGGCCAAACTTTTCAGCAGTGCCCAGTGACAGGACAGGGCGCAATGGGCACAGACTAAAATACAGAAGGCGTCATATGAACATCAGGAAACTCTGAGGGTCACTGAGCACTGGTATGGTTTGCCCAGAGAGGTTACAAAGGCTCATGCATCAGAGATGTTCAAAAGTCACCTGGAAGCAGTCCTAGGTAACCTGCCCTAGGTGACCCTGCTTGAGCAGGGAGGCTGGACAAAACGACCTTCGGAGGTCTCTTCCAACCTCCAGTGTTCTATATATTGTGAAAATATTTCGATAAAAGTATTTTTTTCCATTTTCTTTTTAAAAAGACAGTTATCACATGGCACTATAAATTAAAGGTACAGACTACAGGACCTAACATATTTGCATTTACACTTGTGGAGTACAAAGTAACAACATAAATGTACACAAACAAACCTGTAAACAGTCCTTATAAGACAAGCATCAACACTGAAATTTTAGTCTCGACACCTCAGCTTTATTTGCTACATGCTTTGTCATTCTTAGCAACAATTTGTGAAGAGAGATACTCCAGTAACTTCCTTTAATTTAAAATGTGTAGGACCTGCCACCCACAGAGATCTCAAAATCTGCTTTAGTACCTGTAGAACTAATTCACAACTGCTAAAACATATCTGAGTTTAAGGACATGCAGCAGTAAAAGTATTTGCACCACAAAAAATTGCAATAGAACATAAAAATATTAAAACTTTTGATATCTTCTACAGAAACAATTCCTGTCCAAGAGAGCTTCACAACTAACACCTAGAAACAGAAAACTGATGTTCTGACCAGAAACACAGTATATATGTAACTACATTTGTAAGAAAATTAATGGACCAAATTATGAAATGAAAAACACATAAAAACAGCTTTCAAGTATAGGAATCACAGTTAAGGAAAATAAGATTTTTAGAGGGAAAAAAACTATCAATTTCATTACAAAATGGAGAGGGCAGTCTAATTTTTCTATTTGAGAGTTTTCATACTGCAAGAACTGAAACTGTAATGCTATATATTTGTTTTTGGTTTGGTTTTTTTTGTATAAAACAAATTACTCAAAGAGATTCAGAAAGAGAACTTGGATTTCAAGTTTTGCTTTATACTGTTTTCACTGTGGTTTTTGTATCTTACACTACAGAATTTGGAGCTAACAGAAAACAGCCCTAGGAATGAAAATACTTAGCAAAAGTAACATTCTTCACAAGCAGTACTTATATCACTACAAATAAACTCAGTGTTTTCTCTCTAAAGCAAAGCTTATCCTAGTAGCATCATTCAAAACATTAGAATGAGAAGTTTAGTCAGCACTTTCACTATAAAATGTTTTCTGCTTGCCACAGCACAATACAGATTTGACATGGATTAAACCAAAGCACAAAAATCTTCATCCACAGGATTATTTCATCAGGAAGACACTGTCGATTTGCAATTAGTTTATAAGAAACAATCAATACTTTCAGACACTCTACATCCTTATGTAGCAAAGGTTGTTCCTCCTCCATCTATAAAATGCTTTGTTAATCTGATACGTTTTTAAGTAAGTACAAAGAGTAAGGTGAAAAGGGGACACTGACAAAACAAAAACAAACATATTAGTCTCGTATAAAATTTCTGACATGGAAGATTTTCACCACAGTGGGAGTTGAATCACTAAAGATATTTAAAACCAGAGTGGTTTTCTATTCATTTTTCTAGACAGTTTCTGATTGTACAAAGTCACAGAATGAAAACTATGTTAATTAAGTAATAAAACCTGGCAAAAATCTGACATTATAATGTCTTCATACTTAATATGTAATCATCATTAAACTGCTCCCTAAATGAAAGATTTTTCACTTCACTATACCATTATGTAAAGGTACTTCATAGTTTTGTACAGTTTTAAAGTATACACACGGGAAATTCATGGCAAGTTAGTTCCGTTAGCCTAGTTCAATCTGCCTAATTCAATTATAACAAATTGTAAACACTCCATCTCGCCCCCCCTTCAGCTTTGTTACAGATTCAAAGGAGAGATTGTTTCATTTCCCCAACTAATTTCAATCTTAGAATTGAAAACAATACTTCTACATTCAAACAGAAAAATTCTGAAGAACTCAGAAGATACAAAGTGACATTACTGCAGGAAGAATCTCTGACCTTCTACAGATGCACTGTAGGACCTTGTCTGGAAAGACTTGTAGATTTCCAAATGTAGTTATAAAGAAAATAAGGTGTATCACCTTGTACTTACTTACCCACCTCCCCCCTCAAACAGATAATAAAGAACTGAAGCCCAAACTTACCCTTAGGAAAACAAGGTGCAAAGCAAGATGATTATCCTGCTGTGATCTTCCTGCAGTAATGTCACACATTTAAACAGTGCCCTTCAGTAAGTCCTTCCCTGAGGGATCTAAAAACAAAAAGAATCATTAAAAATTTCAATTTTATTAAAAGAGAAGTAGCAATCAGAGAAGGTACAACACTTCACCTATGCATCAGGATCATTTTCCTCATTTTAAACGCACAAACAGAACTCAGGAGCTCAAGTTGGTCTTCCTTTATGTTTAGAGGGTTAAAATCCTGTAAGTGCAGTTATTAATACTTGAGGCAGAGAGGGGGAAGTTCTTCTTAAGTGACTGTGACTTCAAGTTCAACTTGGTATTTTAACAATACCTAGGTTGCAGAAGCCTCTTCTGAAAAAAATTAATATGGTTTCTCAGATAACACACAAAACGTGAGATATAAAAATCGCTCATCACTTGTAGAATAGTTTGAAATTCTAAAGCATCCAGAACACAGTTTTGTAACATGAAGTTGGTATAGTAAGTACAATATACGTAAAATGAATGTATGTCTAATTACATGTGCAATCTACCTCAAAACCCTTTTACCTATAATACAGCATTTCTAAATTAAAAGGCCTCACAAACTGTGACAAATTAAGACACTGAAAGTATAATTCACAGAATATACAGAGTTGGAAGGGACCTTTGAAGATCATCTAGTCCAACTCTTGGCCCTGCACAGGCCATCCCCAAGAATCACAACATGTGTCTGAGAGCATATATATTTGAAGATTCGGAATTCTCAACTAGGGTACAAATTATTAGCATAACCTTGATAAGTGTTGATTTTGCTGCAGGGATGCTACTATAAAGTAACCAAAAATAGAACTCTCTTCCATTGTTCTTCCCTTTTTTTGCATCCACACAAAGCCCAGACTTTGCCAGGCCAGTGATGCATATATTACAATGCAGAAAACGAAAGAAACTTGAAGCACTTGCACTGGATCATTGCATAAGCCATTTTTACCTAAAAAAATGTGTCGTTTTTAAGCACAAGGCAGCACCATGCTGTGTATGTGCTAGACATTACATCAAAATGGTACAGTGAAGCTTTTTCTTGTTTTGCCATTTACGATTATATTCTTTGAAATTCCACTTTGCTTCAGGAATAATATAGCTAACACGAAAAATATAAGCTTTAGTAAACTTCCTTTTGGACAAAAAAGGTTCAACAATACTGATAAACCATACCACCAATACCACAATAGTAACTCAGCTTGTGGTACCAAACAACACCAAAATCAATAGGCAGCAGTCTATCAGTCCTGCATTAAGCCTGGCCAAGCTGCAAAGCTAAATTCTCTCATCCGAAAGAGAAGTCAGGAGGTAAGTCCCACTCCCTTCCTTTACCTCCTAGCCGTGGCACTCCTCTATGTCCACAGCTACATGAGCAAAGGAGATAGTTGCTCATGAGGAAACAGGCTATGGGACTCTGAAGAATTCAGAGTATGTAAAAGAGCAGACAGACTGACAGAAAAATCTCTCTACCTGCAAGAATGTATCTGAGGCTTGGAGGACACTGCCACAAGAGAAAGCTCAAAGACAGCCTCCCACAAGATCAGTCAGAAGCATTAAGATGCCGAAAGCTCTATTTTCAAGTATGTGTTTCCCAAAGTCTTCTGAGCTGAATTCTAAGCATTAGAATAGAATGCCATACCCTTGGCAAGTAATAAATACTGGAACAGTTAATCACCTATCATTATTTAGTAATTGTGGCTGCACAGGGACTTGTAGATGGGTCTACAGTCAAGTGTATCCACTTACAGATAAATACTCTAAAGTATTTCTCAATACCTTCCAAAATTGCTTTCTGAACCTAAAAAAGTTTACTACTTCCAGATCTAACCTGGCTGAAACAGAAATGTTGTCTGAGAGTCTACCAAATTGGACAACTATTTAAGCAGCTACCAAGAGGGAAATAAGAGTGTTTCCCCAGAGTCCTTTACACACTCCACAGTATTGTCTAGACACAACAGTTGATAGATCAGTATTTTCCAGGGTTAGTTTCAATTACCATATTCTTGTGATAGTGTTGTAAATAACCTGGCCAAGCAAAGAGACACACACCTGAACAACAGGGCCATCACAGCCCAGTCTGCTTTGAAGGGTGCACAAACACCCCAACAGAAAGTTACTGTGACTGCTACAGCTGATTGCAAAATAAATTCACACACATTAGGTATCGCTGAAATGGTCTGCAGGATGAGTTTTGAATGCACATCATTTCCAAATATCAAGGACCGTGATTCCAGGGAAGTTGCAGCTCTGGATTCAACTTACTGCTGACAAGTTTTTATACCAAGTCATTCAGCACTTCATACCTTTTAAGAACCAAAACCTGGCACTGAAAAACATTTAGTACAGTACCCAAATTCCAAGATCTATCAGCACATCAGTAACTACAGCTCTACCCAAAATGTAACAAAATAGCAATTGAACCATTTCCCCTTCTACAACCATTAAAAGAATAAATAAAAAAGTAATGTTGATGTACCTTAATGTTGCCATTTCTCAAGAAGTATTTACCCAGAGTTATCTTTTTCACTCAGACAAGCATAAAAAGAAATCTGCCCTTCACATGAACATCCTTTTTAGAAATGAAACCAGATACAGAGTATACCAATGTCACCTTGTCAACAATTTCAATTCACCTAAGTCTGTGGAAGTCCTAACTACCTAATGTGTCCCATCCTCTTTACTAACATGCCAATATTCTTGCATTCTCAAATACAGGTAATCTTAAGTAACCACACTTGAAATTTTCTATATAAAAATACGGCAAATACAACACTCCCTAGGCAAAATTTAACAAGGATCAGCCAACATGAGGAAAAAATTATCCAGAATGGTTATCGGAAAGTAAGCTCAATCAACAGACAGTAAAGGACAGTATCTTGAAATGCCTTCAATAGTCATACTCTGAGCCTAGATAACTCTCTGCATACAAATGTAAAGCAATCAATTTATTAAAAAAAAAAGGAGAGAAAAAAACAACTGCCTAACTTCATATCAAAAAGCAACACAAAACTGTGTTTAAAAACAGAAGTTCGAAGCTCTTAGTTCCCACCAAATTCACTAAACTTCTTCTATTAATAACAATATGCTAAAGACTGACAGTGTATTACCCCAAAGGCAATCAGGCCCTAAACATTATTTCTAAATTCAAAACAAAACATCATTCTTTAGCTGGAATCTAGTAATCCAAGGCCATCTATTACTATTGCTGATCTCCACAAAAAGAAACCCAAAAAACAAAAAACCACAAGACAAAAAACAAACCAACCTATACAAATTAGATCAAGGTACAATAAACAGGTAAACTGCAGTGTTCTGAACTTAGGCCTCTCAAGTTACCTATCCACAGATTTCTGAATATCTGAAAGCATTCAATATAGATTGCTGTATTTTAACAGGAAATGAAATAGTGCAAGAGTACAGGAATAATAAGTTCTAAATTCTTTGCACACAGGATAAGCTCCTATTAAAGATATGCATAGTGCTTAGAGAAGTTTCTCAGGGCAAGACTACCTGATCAGGCTTATTTACAGAGTTACTCAGGAAGAACGCAAAAGAACTAATGGAGAACTTTCACGAAGGGGATCCATCAAAGAACTTATAAATAAAAATAGAAGAAACAAAAAGAAGCAGATGAGGAAAGATGGACCAAGGTAAGGACAGAAAATGGGCTAAAAAGTAATTAAAATAGTAAAAAAAAAAAAAAAAAAAAAAAAATTACATCCTGGTAGCAAGAACTTCAAGTAATTTCCCCTGATCCACGTATCTGGATCTTTTCACGTTATTTTGCTTCATTAGTAACTGCAGTATAGAATAGTCAATACTGTAAGTTTTGAGACTTAATTCAAACAGGAGTTTGTTGTTTGACCTTGTACAAGTTACATGTCTCATTTCGACCTGTAAAAATGACAACACTGTTTATTCACTTCTTTAAATTATGAAACAAGCTAGGGAAAAGGCATATGTAAGCAGTAAATAATATTCTGCATAATAATCAGCCAACTTAAATAAATTAATGCCAAGACACAACAATATGCACATTTACAAAAATTGTGCATGCAGGTGTTGGGTTTGCTTTTTTAAACACAAACATTCTTCTGTCATGTTTGTATGTCAACTGGTGCAGAATTGCAAAAATGTGTGGGAATTCTAACTCAGAGCCAGAAACCAGCTCCACAAAACGTTATGTGCAGAACTTGCCACAGATTAATTATTTTGGTTTCCAACGAGTGTTAGCGACTAGAAAAACACAGCTAATACGCAAATTCAAAATAACTTCACTACAACTGTCTCAGATTTTCCTGCAGCAAATTTTTAACTCGTTTTTCTCTAAATATTTCACTATCATCCATAAGTATAAGGGAGTGATGAGCAGGTTCAAACAATAATCTGCAAAACGTAATGCTCTTCCAGCTCACTTACACTGACCTTCAGGCTAAAAATTCTCGGAGTGAAAAAGAACCACCAAAGCATGATTAAGAGCGCTGTATGCCCATTAAGAGAAAAGTAACACGGGCACAGGAAAACAGAAAGTTCTGGCAGACCTAACACAGAATTCCCAGTGTTCCTGGAGACACACGAAGCTGAACTTGAGCCGCACTGAGCGGGCCGGGGGCGCGGGACGCGCGGACACAGCCCCCTAGCGGCACGACCGCCGCCCCCGGCA